TTCTTCCATTAGAGTTTGACTAATTTGTTTGTCTGTTGTTTATTCGTAATAACAAGAGATCCGAGAAAGATAATAAATATAATTGTAAAAAAAAAAAAAAGAAACAAAAAAGGAAGAATAATTGTAATAAAAAGATGGAGAAAAACGAATAATGAATGAATGGATTACAATGTGTGTTTTTTCGTAACTATGAAATATCTTATTATACTATTGCTATATCGATTACAGCGAGTATAACGTTGTTTATTTTTTTGGTGTATATGCGTGCAAGTATGTATGTATATATGTATGTATATATGTATGTATTTATGTATGTATTTATGTATGTGTGGTTTACACGTTACAGAGGCTAGAGCACAAATTGTTTAAAATTTCATATCGTCGTTTACATTGTTTGCTTTTTTTTTTTCGAATTTTTCGAAAAGAATAAAAAATAGATCAATATTTTGCCCTTTAAATGTTTCCTTCTTTTACTTAATTTTAACTATGCATCTTATGTGTGTATTTATTTGTATGTATGTATGTATGTATGTGTGTGTGTGTATATAAAAAGCGAGAAAAGCTAACAAAAGTTTCGTTTCATTACAATAATTACATTATTCTTTCAAAATGATGCCGTGCACCTTATATCTTCATTTTATTTTTTAACTATATCATTAATTATAATTATATTATTTTCATTATTATTATTATTATTATTATTATTATTATTATTATTATTATTATTATTATTATTATTATTATTATATATTATTATTAACGAAACGAAAAGAGAGAGAACAAAAGAAATATATAATGGACAAATAATATTAATAATAATGATAATAAAAAGAAGAAAATACACGAAAAAATAAAAAAAAAAAAGCCATAAAACAAATACGTGCTTAAATTTGAATTCGAGAATCAGCTCGTTTTATTATCCAAAATTAAATATATATATATATCGTTCCAATATCGTTGCTTGCATGTAAAACAAGCTTTCTTCTTTTTCCAGTTAGTTTTCAAACATCGCTAATAAAAAAAAAAAGAAACCAAACGTTCATATCGTTTTTTTTTTTTTAATCTTTATATTGCAATTAACTTTCACTTTTTTTTTTTTTCTTATTTTTTCTCCCTTTCTTCTTAATTTTATATGTTTTTCTCCTTTATATAAGATTCTTACTTGTCAAGCACAAATTGGTCCTTCCCAAAGTACGAAGATGCTGCCAATAATAATAAAAATAATAATAATAATAATAATAATAATAATTATAATTATAATAAGAAGAAGAAGAATAATTGGATATTATTTTTACGTAGATAATTGTTTTTTAAATGTTTATCACCATTATTATTCACTGAATATTGAGATCTTAAAATTCGATTTTTGTTTGTTTGTTTCTTTTTTATTTTATAATAGAAGCAGCACCAGTAATTAGACTGAACGACGTGTACGTATTTATGTATGTAAATATATTTATATAAGTATGGTAATCCCTTCAATTAAGTAGATAATTTATTACTGGAAAATAAGTAACTTCATAAATAAAAATTGTATAATTAAAACCACGCGATAAGTCATTTAAAAAGCGACCAGTTTCGCATATTCAAATATACATTTACCCTTCTTACCGGGAACGGGGAAACTGTAAATTTGTTTTTATAGGAAATAAATTACAATGATAACTATCCACGTGTTTCTATTTGCACATAAAAAAACATCATAATGCAAAAACAATATATATATAAGCTCAGCTGATTCCAACATATTAAAATGAATCTATTTAAATGTAGGGATTACTGCATACATGTTTAATGTTTATATTTGTAACCATTGATCATTTCTAAAAACGATGTGTAATATATTATAAATGATTGATTCAACTAGAATTATTATAATATTAATTTTTTGTTGTTCTTATTTTTCAAATCAAGAAAATAAAAAGAAAAGAAAAATGTACTGCGAAATGATTTTATTGGAATATTTAATATTCCAACACAAATTTTATTTTTCTACTTCTAAGAGCTGATTATTTAAGAGAAACAGAAAAAAAAAGAAAAGAAAAGAAAAATAAAATAAAGTTAGAATATAATTCCAGGTGCTAATGGTGGATTGAATCGTTTTAGTATGCAATACATTTATTATACGTATACGTTCGATATGGTTTCACAATAAACGCAATGAATGTTCATATCTCTTTTCACTGTGTTTAAATTCGTTAAATTTTCTCTCTTCAAACTTTAGAGTTTCCTTCTTCTTATTCTTCTTATCCTGAAGGATCGCCAATAAAACATTGATAATTGTGGAATTCGTTGCTAAATAATAATATCGATTAATTCCATTGTTGACATAGTAGAATATGGCAGCGATGAGAAATAGTATATTTTAATAACATCCATGATCATATTTTTCCTTTGAATTTATTTTCTTTCTATTTCTTTTACCTTTTTTTTCTTCTTTTTTTTTTTTCTTCTTCCATCTTTTTTATTTCAAATCGTGTTGACTTGGTATTAATAGTACTGTAATTGACTTCGACAAATTTTTTTCTTCTCTTACACGCGCTTACAGTTTACATGTTACTGTTTTTCTTTCTTCATTTTAAATATCGTTTTTTAATTAATTCATGATCAATTTATACGAGGCCCCCTTGAATACAAATATTAATTTAATTCAAAAAAAAACTCTGGCAGAAAAGGATGCGTGTCAAAAAGCTAACATCATCATTATTTTATACTTTATCTTTCCTCGTATAATTAGAAGCAATATTGTATTTATCGGCTAATAACTGGGTTAACTTTTTCGATGCTAATTTGAAATAATATAGAGAGGAAGACGTGTGGATTTGCTAGATCGGTCTTCATCTATTTATTTATTTATTTTAATGTGCCATTTTTCTTGTTATAATCATCCTTTCCAATGTGAAGCGAAAATGTTCGAGCCCCTCTCTCATTAATTATCATTAATATTAATATTAATATTATTACTTCGTTAAAATTATTATTATTATTATTATTATTAATATTTATTATTATATATAGCGCACACTTTATTATCATGCACTTTTTAATCAAATGACTCATTTTTCTTCTTCTTCTTCTTCTTTTTCTTCTTCGTTTATTTTAATTATCATCAGAATAATATTCTATCTATATACACATATAATTAATTATATTAATCGCTGGTGTTGTCGTTTTTTTTTTTTCATTTTCTTTTCTTTTTTTTTTGTTTTGTTTTAATTTAAATTTAATTGATCGTAGCAACTAGTAGTACTCGCTGTTAAAAACTAGGCTATCACGATAGCAGCACAGGACTGATCTCGGTTACGTCTTTACAGTCTTGAATAGATATTTGAGCGATATCATTAATAATTTCGTCTTGAACAATAGTCTCAGTTTTTTTCAATATCGTATATCCTTGCTGAGATCCATCTTCGTTTTCACTATAACCTTTACCATTTTTGTTTCCTTTAGTTTGACCATTAGTAGTTTTTTTCTTATTCAAATTAGTATCCTCGTTGGACATACCTGGATTAATGACGACACTATTGTTAACCATTGTTTGTGATCTTTTGGGACTTTCTACTTTTTGATCTGATACGTAACGAGGCCATATTGTAGTTCGATTATTTTCTACGTTTTCTTTATGCTTAGTTCTACCTACTATTATTCTAATTCTTGAATTACACTTTTGATCAGACAATATTTGACTTACAGGAGGTACGTCATAATGTTTCGAATTTTCATCCATTGTTGTTGTTGTTGTTGTTGTTTGATTGTTCTCAACAGAATTATTAATTTCGCGAGTATTTGATGATGATGATGTTGATGATGATGCTGCTGCTGATGATGCTGCTGCTGATGATGATGATGATAATGATGATGATGATGAAGTTGATGACGAAGATGACGTTGAGGATGACGCAGATGTAATGATAGATTTTTTGGACGTATCATTAGATTCGATGGAAGAACTTTCATTAACTTTTTTCCTTTCTTCTTCCTCATTTACAACCCTGGTAACAACACACGTGAAATTTTTCGTATCATCTGTAGATGTCTTTTCCGTGCTGGTTACTTTACCATTATTTGTTATCGCGTGATTATTCGTATCCTGTCTATCTACAGAAGATGACAATTCTCGTTGTAATACTTTAACAGGGCTCTTAGGTTTTGTAACGTTATCAGTCGTAGATTTATTGTGGCAATTGGTACAGGATGCCTGTTTCCCATGAGTAGGTGAGTTCACTTGTCTCTTACTCGTATTGTTTTTCTGAACGACACCCATATGTGGTCGACCCAGTCTCAATACGTTAACCGTTGATATAGTTTGCCAATCTGTCGTTGATTCGTATTGAGGCACTTGTTGCGCGTGATTCAAATGCAACTGTTGTTGTTGTTGCTGCAACTGTTGTTGTTGTTGTTGTTGCTGCTGCTGTTGTTGTTGTTGTTGCTGCTGCTGTTGCTGCATTCTTCGTATATCGACTTCTATTCGTTGTTGATACAGTGGATTAGTTATATAAGATTGATAACTAGCCGACATGTTTGGATTAACATTAGTATTTGTTGCTGGACCATATCCTAAATTAGTGGTATTTGGATGTAAATTAGAATTAACGTACTGTGGCATCATTTGCCTTGGCAGTTGTTGAAATTGATACTGTGGTCCTGGATATGCAGGGCAGCTTTGTTGTGGTATATTCTGTACCATATTGTCTCTACCACGTTCTCTATAATCATATCGATCCTGTGCTATTCGTGTTACGTTACCATATTGTTGAGATACTATTTGACCTGATTGATAAATCTGATCATTTGGCCCAATGACAGACTTTTGCGATTGATAACCATAACCATCGTAATGCATATCACCGCTTACTGCTCTGGCAAAGACAATATTAGTCGTATGATATTGAGGAGGTTGCTGGGAAGTATATTCTTGTTGTTGTTGCTGCTGCTGTTGTTGTTGCTTTTGTGTTTGCTGTTGTTGCTGTTGTTGATCTTGATATTGAGGATACTGTGGAACAGGTGGTTGTGCGTCGATCCAGGTTTCTTGTTGTGGAGGTGGTTGTTCTCGGTCCCGCCGAGCCTGTACCGCGTTCCACACTTCCTTCAATTCTCCTGTGATATCACGATCTTTTAAAATAGTGTATCGCCTTGAAAATATCACACCTGCATTCATTGCTTCTACAAAATCCAGCAATAGTTCTATCAGGGACGAACGTTTCTGAAATTGTCATTATATATTTTACTAATTAAATAATATTTCTATGATAATGTTACTTGTAATTTTGTTATTAGAACTATTGGTTTACGTACTTCTGGATCTTCTGCATTTTTGCCATTAATACGAAGCACCTCCGGATTAGCCATAACAGCAAAGACCACAGCTTCCGCTTTTGTACGAGGAGATGGTACTCTCATACCTCCCCAAAGTGGTACAGGTTGGGACGGTCTACATGGCATTGCGATTCTATCCCAGGATAGTACATTTACAAAGCAAGGTGCTGCTGTACCCTATAATCAATAAATAATTATTAACGATAATCTTTCATATTTCTGATATTTGAACGCAAAGTTATATAAGTATTAACATATTAACATTTATATATATAATATATAAAACATCGTTTGATATTAATTATTATTGTGTTATATATTCCTGGTTTAATAATATTTATATATATCTATTAACGATACGTATTGCTTATTTTTTTTTTCTTTTAATCTGTTATTATATATTCATATATATATATTTGTTCGAATGATATATTTAATATATAGATTGAAATTCTTTATGTTTCTATACATTTGAAACGAAACACAGGCAAAGAGACTGATCGAATGTACCTCTATTCACTGCCTCGTTCGATGTTATAACATTTATTATTTGTTGAATATTAGAATTATTCCATTTTGGAGAAAATAGTGTTGTTGCTCGAGAATACTCTATTTCATTGGAAGTGTATTCTTATGAAAAGCGCATGTTGGCAACTCAAGAGAAGACATCTCGTGTTCTCGGCAAATGTTTAACAGACATAACTGAAATAAATACATCGTATACACTTATAACAATTAATTACTAATATATAATTCCTCTTCCACCAACAAAAATATTCATCAATGAGTTATCGTAATGGAAAACTAAACTTTAGTTATCTTTCGTTCTCTGTCGAAGATCAAAATGATGAATCGGTTGAAGTAACTTATGTTTATTATGACCCGTACAAAGAAGAACGGTTGTACATAATGGAAAGATTGTTATTCAAAATACAGGTTCCTCTGCGTATATGTAAAACGGTTTTCTTTACCTGTATAAAATCTCGTATACACATGTGAGGCTGCGGAGGATTTTTGAAGATCCTAGTCCCATTTCTCTTCACTCTTGTAGCACCGCCTTCTGTCATCGTGTAGCTGTAAATAATATTACATTATACGACAAACTATATGAACATTTTAAATGTTTTCAATAATTTGACATAAATCTTCATACGACAAACTATCCAAATGATTTTTATATATATATATATATGAACATATACATTTATATAAATTATTTAATTGTGTAAAATGATTGTTATTAAAGAAACATTGCAATTATCTTTATATCACAAATGCACTAACTTACCAGAAATAATATAATCTTAATAATCGGCTTTACTTCTCTAATTGTTATATTAAATCGTCTTAAATTAATCGTAAATTAACGAAATAATAGCAATGTTTCAGTTTACAACGTGAAATTTCCTTCATTGGAACGTGCAATCGAAATCGATCGGAGTTAGCGACGAACGAGAATCGAAAGTACGATTACTACTCTAAAGTAAAAGTATTAAAAAAGAAAAAAAAGAAACAAAATTCGATTCGATTCAATAAATCATAATTTGCATAAACAGTTCTTTTTTTAATTAAAATAATACGAGATAATAATAATAATAATAATAATAACAATAATAATGAATGAATATATATAAACAAATAAAATACAATGAATAAAAATTGACGCCAACAAAACAAACGTGGCGGCACGTAATTACTTAACACATTAATAGAGACATACACATACACACACACGATTGTCTAATGTTACAATAGAAATATTACAAATGTAATTAGAGACACACACACGAAACGTTAGCCGTCATTTTTTTTACACCTTTAAACTCGGAACTTCGTGAGAGTAGCAATTTAAAAAACATTACAAAAGAATATTTACATTAAATTCGATGATATTACGAATGAAATATTTCTAATCAAATTGCGACAAACTTTATAATCAAAGATTTGATTGAATTAATCGTATTTTTTAAATACGTTTGAAATCAATTCGAAAGACTGTCAATGTAACCTCGAAATTTTCTTAACGTTCTCTCTTACCCTCACCCCCCCCAACCCCTTTCCTCTTTCTCATCCTTTTCATCACACGAATAAAACCAAGCAACCAAGAATTCGAGCACAATGTTCATAGGTGTTACGATAAAATTCGATTGTTACTTATCGATGACATATCGTATGAAAAGTATTATTAACTCACCCTGTTGTGTTGTTTCATGCGTTAAAAAAACACCGAACAGGCGCGTTAACTGGACGACACATTATCAGCCAGCAATGAAAGAAAAGATCCATCGCTTCTTTTGTTTATTATTTTTCCGGAGACTGCGCGTTACAATACGGCCATATTCTGCGCCACTGGTTTCCCCGTAGCCAATCCATGAACTAATTCAAAACTCTGTCGCGTGCGACGCATAACGGTAGAAATTGTAACTATTATTTCGAATGCGCAACAATGTGAAATGACCGTAAGTTTTCGCGCGTCAACATACGCGGGAATTTTAAATTTGAATCTTACTAATGTTTCCTAATATGTATATATTACTATATAATATTACGATATAGAACATTATTAGAATTAAATTAATTGCCATTTGCCAATTTTTGTTAAATTTAACTTTAATTTCTTCGAAAACGGCTGATCCTAGGAAGTTATTTACAATGCATTATGTGTAGGGTCTTAAGCCCTAACGATCCCATATAAATTTATAAACGTTTAAATATTATAAGTCGTGGGTTCTTCTTGTTAATACTCTTAGAAAATGATGTAAAAAATTGTAAGAACTTTATATAACAGAATGATTCTATAACATTAATTTGTTTCGCTTTACAATTTTGATAAATACGGAACGAATGAACCGTGTTTAAAGGAGTCACGAATTTATAATGTATAAAAGACAATTATATAGTTTTTAATACGGTATTGTACCCGCGTATTGCACATTTCTTATCTATGCGTATATCGTAGAATGCGTGTATGCGGTATACCGACAAACCAGAATCGAAAGGGTCTGTTCGATACACCATATCATTATGACGCCTTGCAGGCAGAACTATCGATGCCGGTCGATGGTATTAATAGTCGCTAACTACAGTGTTTCGTGCCGCCTGCTTACTACAGCGAGTTTCAATAGCCCCGTTCGATGATGCATTCTTCTTCTTTATTCTCTTCTTCTTCCTCTTCTTCTTCTTGACACGTACACCATGAAACATAGAAATACTTTGATGTAATCTACATACAAGCATTTTTAAAAAAATAATATTTATATAAATTATATATTCTCTGATCTTTTTCTTTTCCTCTTTTTTCTTTTTAATTTATTTTTATACAACGTTCAATTTATTCTATCAGTATTTTATATATATATATATATTTACAATTGTATAACTGTAATTTATATATAATAATTACATATTTATAGTGTAGTTTTATTTAAAGAATTGCATAAAAATTGTATAGACACTAGCATCGAATAATTACCAATTATTCTAATGTACTAATGAACTTTTTTTAAATTACAGTTAAATTTTGCTCTCGAAATTATAACTGCGCAGAAGCGTTTAAATAATTACATAAAAATATTAAAAATGCTAAAATATGAGCGTTATAATCTTAAATTTTAATTATTAGATGCATTATTCACTTTGTACATATATGCACAATGTTAGAAAAGTTATATAAACAATATATAATAGAAATTGTATAGAGAACAATGACTCAGTTCAACGCTGGATTTCGAAGAAATCTTGTTTTACTGAATATTTCGCGTTAATACTTTTTATACTAAAAGTGAATTGATTTTAATGAAACTAATATTAAATTAAAGTACACTCTTTTGTCTACGCGTAAAATACTTCTTTGAGTTATAAATCAATCTACAAAGGTTCCCAAAATGGTAAAGAAAAGTTAACGGTTCAGGGAAAGCTAGCATTCCCTGGCGGGTTAAGGAAAGCAAGTAATCCTTTTGATCAAATTCTTAACTTGCCACTTAAAAAAGTTCCAATTTGCCTGTTTTTGACTGGCTTACTACAATCTTTCTTTATTTTCTTTTTGTTTTCTCTTTTAAAAAGAGCGAATAAAGAGAAAGAGAAAGAAAGAGAGAGAGAGAAAGGTCCATAAGGATCCCGTAATGCGAAATAATGGGTTTCCACCCACTCGATGAAAATTACACGAGAGAGACGTGCCTCCTCTCTTTTCTTCTTCATTTTATTTTATTTTATTTTTCCTTTCCTTTCCTTTCCTTTCCTTTCCTTTTCTGTTATTTTCTTTTCTTTATCTCTTTTTCTTCCTCAATCATGTTCCACCACCTCAGGGTTGCTGTATAATACTTAATAAAAAAACAAAAATAATAAAGTGGATATTATAATACCACGGGTCATCATCATTTCCAACGGGATAGTGATAATTGTTCGTGAAACTGCAGTTGCAATGACGCAAATGCATACTCCGTTATTGTTGAAACGTTTGGTCCAATTTAATGATGTTATCGTGAAATATTTCTGAATATTTTTATCTACGAAAAAAGAAAAAGAAAAATGAGAACAAACATTAATAATAATAATACAAGTTAACTTCTTATAATAAAATTCTAAATAAACAAATATAATACAAAATACTAGAAGCGAAGGAGAGGGTGGGGACAGGGGCCGAGGGAGTGAATTAAACACTGTTGAATACTCTGATCAAAATTGTGAGAATGAATGGGGATGATAGAGAAAAAAAAGAATATGCACAACGAATAAGTGGTATCGATGAGAATGATGATTTCATGAAAGTTAAACAGTTTTGCAAGGGGGATCGTAAAGGAAATGAAATGAAATTAAACCAATGGGATAGGGTGGGGGTGTTGAGAGAGAGAGAGAGAGAGAGAGAGAGAGAGAATAAAAGAGTAGAATAGTGAAGGACAGAGAGAAACCCTAGTCTGGCCAGGTGTGTGGAACACTGATGGTAAATGTGCCCCTCCCCCCGCCCAACGGGATATGATGGTGGTTATGGTGATGGTAGTGGTGGTGGTGGTTTGTTCGTCCATTTAAATTAGCCGAGTGCAGCCTCCTTTCGAAAATTAATTGACGTATCGATCGGGATGAGCCCACAACGTTTGGAATATATATATATATATATATATATATATATATAAGTGTGTGTAAGTCTCTTTATAAACTGTGTGTATATAATGTGTATTTACGTATGTATGTAGAGAGAGAGAGGATTGTACTAGAGCCACCACGGTGGTATCGAGTTTTCAATACGGCTACCGTAAATTGAAGAGCTTGAAATGTGGGTAGTAGCAGTATGATAAACACTTATGGAAAAATAGATAAATAAAATTAATACAAAATCTCAACGCGAATCCTATTTTGTTTGTTTATCACATCAAATCAAATTAATCTCATGTTTTTATTTCTAACGTGCGTTATTATTAATATTCTTATTTCTATAAGTTTATAAATATATATAATTACAAAAAGAAAATTTATATAAAATCTCAAAGAATCCTATTTTATTTATCCATCAAATCAAAACTAAATCTCATCTTTCTATTTCTAATATACATTATTACAATATCCTTATTCCTACGTTATATATTAATATATATTATAATACATAATCACAAAAAGAAAATTTATATAAAATCTCAAAGAATCCTATTTTATTTATCCATCAAATCAAAACT